TTCTTAATCCCAGTTTGTATCAGTTGTCTTGGGTATTGTCTCCTTAATAGGAATCCTTCCAGCTCTTTGAGCCTTTGTTCTAATGTGGTTTCATTTGAGACAATTGTGCATAGTCTTCGAGCTAGGTTGTATGGTATGTTGTGCTTAATGTGCCTGGGATGACACGAGTTAAAAGGGAGATATTGTTTTGTGTCTGTTGTTTTGTAATACACATCTGTCTCAATTTTTCCTTTTACACTTATTACCGTAACATCGAGGAATGGGAGTTGTGTTAAACTTGAATCCATCGTAAAATGTAAAGAGGGATGTAGGTTGTTGAGGATCAGGTTGAAATCTTTCAATTCATTTTCTGTTTTGTCCCAAATTATAAAACAGTCATCAAGGAAACGTTTCCATGTGTTTTCTAATTGATTCCTAAATTCGACTCCAAACCGTTCTTCGCATCTTTTGTAAAGGCCTTTTTCGATGTATCCTAAGACAAGTGTAGTGTAAGTGGGGGCTACTTTTGTACCCATTGCAGTTCCTATTTTTTGGCGATAATGTTTGCCGTTGAAGTGGAAAGAATTGTTTGTCAAGATGAACTTAAGTCCTTATATATATATATATATAGGCACCTACCATACAAAGGGGAAAAAGGATCATCGGCTGCATTAAGACATAACAGCGGCACTTGAATATGGTGGCATTTGTCATGCAGGGTAGCGTCTTTATAATACTCCTGCCAATCTTTGTAACCAAACATCTTAGACGTCAAGCGGTCATCAAATTCTCGAATGGTAGAGCTCTGGTAAAAAAAAAAAAAAGACTGATCATCAGTTAAAGTCTACACAGGTATGCAAAGCTGCATGATTTCAGTTTAGTGAAAATATAAGGTAAACACTGAAATGTTCATTCTCACTGATTGACAATCTGAGCCAAAAACTAGGCCCTCAGTGGCCAACTGAACGAATTGACAAAATTTTAAATATTAAAACTCTCAAACCATCTGGTATTTTATATGCTGGTGGTTAATGTTGGCGCAGATTGACATATATCTGTTTTTCATGGATATGTACCTACAGTCACAAGAAACACATTACAATCCCCAAATTACACTTACTCAAATGTTTCTATCCTTAAGTTTTAAACTCGCACTTACAAAAATACTGATTCTTAAACTTATAAGATACAATTCAAAAGTTAGGCCACATTTACAATCAGTTTACCCCCTTATAGACTTATGTCTCAAGCTTTCAAGTGGGTTGCCTATATATTTCATCAGCAGATCTTGTAAGTGGATCAAATATGACCAACCCACTTGAAAGCTTATGGCATAATTTTTGAAGTTAAAGTGTGGTTTGGGAAGTATAGCACAATGGCTATATGCAAATGTAACTGTTAAAATTACAAGCACAAAAATATCATGTGCTTGTATAAATAAAGACAGGAATAGGAAATAAACAGCTGACTAAGCTATGACGATCTTGCACTCTTACCTTCAAAACATGCTCCAAATCAAACTTTTCTGATAATACTTGGAAATTTCTGAAAAGTAATCAATCATATAAACACTTATGTATAAATTTATACAAATACATTCATTTGTTTCGGCCATTATTCAAATTGAAAATTTTAAGACACGTTCTTAATGCATAAACAAAATGTAAACACACACACATCAACACACAAACTCAGAACAGATATTAACTCAAAATTTAATGTCATGCACGCATGCACACACACACTCTCTCTCCTGTCTTTCACTTTCTCTCTCTCTCTCTTTTACACAAAAACATTTTCTCTTTTCTCTCTCTCTCTCTCTCTCACACACACACAAAAACACACACACACAAAACAGAAATCCCCCAAACCAAAACTCATATCAAACCAGATGAGGAATATCTATGCAAGACATACTCCTTGATGGCTTCTCTCAGACTGGAGGTCAATGTCCGGTTGAACAGCAGGTGATTGAGAGGTTGCTCCAAGCTCTTTGTGGACTCGAATACATTGAAGGCCACAGAAATGGTCATCCCTGCCAGTAAGGGGCAGTCTCTTCCCATCTTGGCTATGTAGTTGAAGACAAGCATTCTTGAAAAGAGAATTTAGAAAATATGTACCACTTGGGGCTTTATAATGTTTTTATGAGAATACCTTTTTGAGCACTAAAATGTCTACATATAAATATTACAGGCCCTCTACTCTCTAAGTTTTTTGAACATGTATGTTTTTACAAAATACATAGGTATTAAAATAGGCATGAGTACTGAGAAATAGCAGAGGATAAAACGCCTATTGCTAGTGGAAAAGTATTTCAATTCTCAAAGCTTTCAGTTACACATGTGTATGTATTTTATGGAGGGGAAGAGAGGGGGGAGGCTCACCTGCTTGCTGTGTTCCCACCCCCCCCCCCCCCCACCCAAAAAAAAAAAAAAAGATTAAAAAAAAATCCTGCCACTGTATCAACTAACCCTCCCATGGATATCCCAGCTGCTATAAGGGGTGCATCAGGATATTTCCCCTTTATATGGTTAATCACATTGGTCAAATCTTCAACATTGGCTGCACAATACGACCTGGGCGTCTGAAATGACATTCAGTTTTATGTGACATCTAAAAAGTGAATTCAAAACAATAGCTAATGCAGTAAAGAATGACAGCATCAATTACACTATACTGCAATGTCCTAAGTAATTTTGCTACCAATCAAATATAGGTCTATTATTTTGTACTTGTCCTTTTTGAAATACTTTTGGAAATTATACAAACTTAAATTAAAAATTTAAACCCCAAAAACAGGACTAGTATGTAATAATGTATTAGGCAACATTTTCAGCATTTTTAATACTATTATTTCTATATACATTTGGTTACCATAGAAAGCAAGTCAAATGATGCTCAGGGGGTTAAAAACACTTGTATATAATAAAATTTTATGTACAGGGTGTTCCACTTTTATTTTACTTACCAACAATTTTTTGCCACCAATGCCTCTGTTGTTGAACACAACACACCTTTAATAATACACCAATACACAAATGATTAAATTATTAAAAATATATCAATTATTTTAAATTATAAATCTATGACTGTTGTGTTTTTTCAAACTATTAATTTCAAATATGCTTTGTAGATCTGTTTCACTGCAGTTACATAATCATTAACAACCACAATATTTAAGAAGGTTCTTTTTCTTTAAAGTGGACTTTTTACCCCTTTATTTGAACCAGCTTTAGAAATGGCATAGAACCCGCCATTCAAAGTGAACTTTCTCCCCCCCCCCCAAAAGAGCAGTTCTTTTTAACTCCTCCCCCCCCCCCTCCCTCCAATTTACCAATTGGCCTGCTGAACTCAATATTCTAATTTTGAAATTAGGCTCAACTGGATATTTTTTAGCCTTTTTAGAACTTGATAGTATTTTTCAAAAAGCCAACCCTTCTTTGATAAGTGATAAACTTAAGTATTTACAAATGTTATGGAGTTACTATAAAGTATAACTATGTCACCTGTATCCTTTGTCTTTGGCTTGTTTGACAAGATGTAGAATGTAACTCTGTCGACTGCACCCTGAAGATTATAAAAACTTAAAAATTTTGATAGATAAAACTGATTTCAATTAATCAGAATGTTTATAAGAAGTATATGACATCAGAATCTTGTGAAAAAATTTAACTAAGAATCACTACATATGGGACATAAATACAAAAACATTAATCATTCTTGTCATTTTTATTTTACTTACTATTATGATCAAATGATCATTACTATTATTATCACACAGACACAATCCCATTTTAGTTTGTGTGTGTGTGTGCACATGCAAGCCCACACTTGAGAGAGAGAGAGAGAGAGAGAGAGAGAGAGAGAGAGAGACATATACCTGTAAGTCCTGGCAGTAATAAAACTGTTGGTCTTGTTTTAGAGTCACTATAAATACTGTTCTCATTTTCCTCCCAATGTAGAATCACTTGCCCCCCATCTGGCAGTGTTAAAATATCACTGGAAGTATCAAATTATGTACAAATTGCAATAAATCACCACCCTGAGAAAAACATAGTATGGAGAGAGCTCTAAACTTCGGGGTACAAATCACAATCATTAAAAATCTATTCATATGTGGCATTTGTGGTGGTCTTACTGTACAGAATAAAACTATCCTGTAGCCTGCATTTCCATTTTGTTGCTACCACTTATAACAACAGGAATGTTGTAATTTTAAGTATTATCATGACTAAAAAAATACAGTATTTGCAAAATTTCCCCATTGAAAAGATTAAGTCATTACAATGTTCTTTCTTGCAAACCTGCTGTAAACTGACCTAGTGTAAGTAATTTCTGGCACCGACTGTATCACAGCTCGTACAATTGTCATAATTCTGGCTTCAAAACACCACAGCGTTGGCCAAAACTTCTCGTTGACAACGGGCACATATCTGTGCAGAAAGCGTCTGAATTTGGCATCTCTGCAGGCAAAGATCGGCTTCTGAAATTCAAATGTCCAGATCAGAAATATAGTGAAAGTTCAGTTTTTATAAACCGCAACACACATGCGTCCTTGGACGAATAAAACAAATTGTATTATTTGTCCACGATGCATTTTACATTGAGGCCTGGTCATTTTGTCATTTGAAATTGAAATTCTTGC